ACGCAACCGAAGTCCAATCTAGTAAGGACTCTTGTTGCGGCTAGAATCCTTCTCTGACAAGAACTGTAGTGTCGACTTCTCCTTCTTGAATACGAATTACTTCCCGCTATTCCTTCTTTGAACAATAATGCGGTGGGCTTAACCAATTTTATTTCCTCCATTATTGTTGCTGCGATCGGCCCAACTCATGTGGACCAGATTTGTCAAAATTGGTCCAGCATAAAGCCCCCTAAGGGAAGCGAATTTTGGGGCCAAAAAGACAAAAAAATTGCTTGTCTTACTGCCCAACTCTTTCTTCAACCCAATAAAGTGGGATGATCCAGCAATAAATCTGCCAAACAGAAAAAAGGATCGGCCCAAGAGTCCCTCCTAGCAAAGGTGCGTGTGCAAAAACGCGCGTTTGCTAACGGCTTACTGACTCCGCGTTTTTCGAGGGTTGACCGGTTTTGAAGTCACTGGAGTGATGATGGAGAGAGAAAGAAGAGGATAGAACTATTTCAACAGCTGCTTTTCTTCTTAACTGAAACAAAATCCTTTCCGATTCTAAATCGCCATCGAATCCAAATTTGTTACAAGATTTTATATTAAAGCAATAGGTTTGCCAAAGCCAAAAAAATCCTATACTAGCATGTTCAACTCTGAACCCACAATTTGAATTTCAACAAATCAATTAGAAAAAACCCTTGTCAATTCAAACCCTCTCTTGTTGTTGTTGCAATCTGTTGAAGAAGGAAAGAATGGCCGGAACCCGTGACGCTAATCAAATGGCCTATGACAAGGCCAAAGCGGCAACCCATGGTATAAAACCAGGAGATATTGATTTCTTGCAACCATACAAAGAACAAGTGATACTGCCATTCAACCCGTCTGCTTGCCACTTTCCTCTGGGTACCAATTTCCTATCGGCGCCGGAAAACCTAAAGGAGTATAGCCCGATGTTGAACTCAGATGCTTCCTATCACAAATAGGAGAATCCCTGCAAGTTTGAGAATTTTGAGCGGATCTGGGTGTGGCCGTGGTCCGACAAGCAGGAAACCTAGGAGGCATTTGTGCAGTTGTACGGAAGGACAACTTGACAACTTGAACCATAATAGTTATTATGTTTAGTGAATTCCTATAGAATAAAGAAATTCTTTTAGTTCATCCACACGCATTCAATAATTTGATTAGTAAATTCTTAATCTAATCTTTAAGGTCGAAGTATCCCATCTCTCAATATGACATCAATGACTAATATTGTTCTAAGTACAATTTTAGCAACTAGTTTCACTTCACAAATTGACGTGGAATACACTTTTTAAGTTTATCTACCTATGAAAAATCCCATGTCGTTCATTACTTTGTGAGCATGAGATTGTTCATTTTTCACTTAAACGCCCTTCCAGGTGAACACAACTGTTGCTTTTTTTCAATGAAATGCTAACTTACCTCGTAACATGCAAATACAGTAAAAACCTTCCTAAGTTTATCAATTTTCTTATCGAATTTTCCCCTAATACAAAAATTATAGAGTAATAATGATATTTCACGTTACTAATATAATTCTGCTAATATCTCTATTTACATGTCAATCCTAATTGGCACATCCAGATCATTCCATCAATTTATCTAAAATTTAAGTAAGAAAATTAAATTCCTATCGTCATCCTACTACACTTTTTATTTTTTAGAAAAAAATAATGGAAAAGACCAATCAGCCGGAGAATCTCTCCTCAACAGTGCCATTCTATAATCCACGGAAGAGTTTACGATTTTCTTTTAATAGTTACAAATCCTCACAAAAGAGAAGCTGACCCATGTCCCCTATGGCGGTCGTCGAAAATTTACTTTTGTACACCAATGAGGAGTCATAAATTAACCCTCACCCTAATGGGTTTGGGCCGACTAGCTTGGAGGTTAAGTCACTGCCTAAACCTAATACGACTAGGTTTCAGGAAACAGGTAACACCACCTGTATATAAAGAGGTGGTGTCTCTCCCATAATACATATCTTCTACCTATCTTCTACATTTTCTACACACGATACACATCCTTCTCTCTCTACTATTTCTATTCCCTTATTGACTTAAGCATCGGAGAGTTTACCCTCGGGAGACACCCGAGGCTCTGTCTTGCAGGTTTAAGGCCGTCCGTTGCCACTTAGATCATCGTCGCAGCCCGTCCTAAGGCACCGTGCAAATCCATGCTTCGTTAAGTGGCATGCCCAGTGGGACCCATTTGTTTGGTCCTTACAACCAAATAAATTTCTTAAAACAAAGTTGAGATTTATTGGTGCTACATGGTGATCACGATGGTGGTTGGATTAGCAACTTGCTTGTCCTATTGCAACAAAGAATCATGGTTGCCATGGAAAAACAAAGGCTAGCCGAGAGAGACAATACCAATTCAATTGAGAAGTCAGCAGCAAGCAAGCAGCTCACGATGGCCAAAAGCAGCCAACTGCTCTAGAATAATTCTAACAGTCCCTGGAGTTCAAATGCCGCCGAAAGGGGCAGAAAATCAGAAGGACAATTCCTCATCAAGAATTGTTACTTAATCCCTAATAAATTTAATTATTATAATTTAATCCTTAATATCTTTTATAATTTTACAGATAAGCTCTCAAGTCCTTCGAAGCAAGGGGCAACCTCGAAGATTGAAGTTTCGAGAGATACATCTCCTCGATGGGGCAAGCATCCCTCGAGCACCTTACTACTACTCGAAGTGTTCGAGAAGACGTATCTCGACCTTCATCTATTCAACTACTACCTTCTCGGAATCGAGGTAACACCTTCTCGAGTAATCAATTTATCTCGAGACTAAGGTATTTCTCAAACCTTTTTATTATATGCTTCTCGAATCTAAATTCATATACTACTAATATCATTATTCTCCTCACAAACATATAATTATATTGTATTGCCTTTTTGAGTGAAATTGCGTATCAACGAAAGACCTGCTAGTCGGGCACGACCCACAAAGACCTGCTAGTCGGGCACCGGATTTAAATAAGACCTGCTAATCGGGCACGACCCACAAAGACCTGCTAGTCGGGTAACGGCTAAATAAGACCTGCTAGTCGGGCACAGCCACAAGACTTATACGACAGGCAATTACATGTTTCTCACCTTCAAATAAGAGAATCTAGGTGCCATCCTCCTAATTCAGCATACACAGGCTTCCCCCTGCCAATCAGGAACTCACTAATATAAAGACCTCCTCGAGACACTTTATTCTCTTTATCTTGAATAGGTGACACCCGAGAACGAAAGAGTTCGAGAGTTGGGGCAATACCATGAAACTCGAGAAGACATCAACACTTGTAGCAACTCATATTCTTCTCATCAAGTCTCAAGAATATGGCTTGCTAGGGGCACTTGACGAGTCATAAATTAACCCTAACCCTAATGGGTTTGGGTCGGCTAGCTTGAAGGTTAAGTCACCACCTAAACCTAATACGACTAGGTTTCAGGTAACAGGTAACACCACCTCTATATAAAGAAGTGGTGCCTCTCCCATAATATATATCTTCTACCTATCTTCTACACTTTCTACACACTATACATATCCTTCTCTCTCTATTCTTTATATTCCCTTATTAACTTAAGTATCGGAGAGTCTACCTTCGGGAGACACCCGAGGCTCTGTCTTGCAGGTTTAAGGCCGTCCGCCGACACCTAGATCATCGTCGCCGCCTATCCTAAGGCACCGTGCAGATCCATGCTTCGTGAACCAATTTTATGGCTATGTGCATTACGCTTGGGATTTCTCTGTCTTGATCTTTATTGTGCTCGTAATTCTCTAATTTATTATTTTAAAGCAAATTCAGCTTCTTGGTGTTGTCGTATTTATTGGGTGTCTTCTTTATTTTTCTTCCTTGACTTGCCTCGCACATGGGAGTTAGATTCGGTTTTCGTTTGCGTAAAATTGGTTTGGTCTCTTAGAGCAAATTGAAGCAAATTGAATGTGTCAATTATGATTGTCCATGTAAGTAGAGTTATTTTAATAAAGTGGAATATCATTAATCAAAATCTTATCGCCCTCACATAAGAATGCCAAATAAGCTTCTTGAAGTCGCCTCAAATTCATACTCAACATTTTTTGTTTCAGTTTCATACTTGTTATTTTCATTCTTAATACATGAATTAGCTATGAAAAAATTATGAATAATCCCTAATTGGTGATAATCATAATCAGCATGTTAAAATTTAAAATAACGGAATAGGATTATGGTACTTAACTCGATTATCATCAGGTCGCGGCGGCTTTGATTCAGGAGCATAATGATGGAGTTGGTTGTCAGAATTATTTTCCTGCTCTAATTTTCAGCTTTTATATATGATCTGTACGAAAAATGAAAATTCAAATTAGATATTTATTTCGGCACAAAAGAAAACCTAACTAAATAAAGAGGGGTATGTAGTTATCAAACCATATAATATATTTAGTTTATTTTTATAAAATTTGTCTCCTTGGTTGCAAAAAAAAAGAAAGAAAATGAAATTGAACATTACTAAAATTAATCACTACCCCACGAGTGATATATAATAGCTAGGTTTTGCGCATGCAAATCATATTCCTTTATAATAAACCTCTCCATCACACTAATAAGTTATGGAAAAGGAAAATTGGCCCCTAATTAAAATCCCATTCAACTTAAACTCACGTGGTGCTATGATCCAATAATGCAAGATGTAGTACAATCTTTCCGTCCAAAATAGTTGTCTAATTTAAAATTTTTACTTTTAATATAATTCGAACTAAAATAAAAGTTCAAACTTAATCGGATTTTGGGACGCTTATTGTATCAAAATATACATATATAGTTCCATTATAATTTGTGAGTCGTATGGTACAATTTGCAAATGACAGTGTGAATTATTTTTTTGAGACTGTGTGCACCCCATAAATTACAGTTAGCTAGTATGGATTATTTTTCTAGGAGTATAGGAGTTCCATTCTCTGTCAATATATATCCAATCCCTCCGGAACCAAACTCAATAAATGTTTCAATCGTCAAAATGCCTCTTCACAACTACAAAAAACAGAGTTGTGACAACAACAGCCGCCTACCACATCACCATGATCATGTGGTCGTTGTGATGGTGCCGTTTCCGGCACAGGGACATCTCAACCAGCTCCTCCAGCTCAGCCGCCTCATCTCCGCCTACAACATCCCCATCCACTACGTCGGCACCGCCACCCACAACCGCCAAGCCAAGCTACGAGTCCACGGCTGGGACCCACTTTCCGTTTCCTACATCCATTTCCACGAGCTCCCGACCCCGACTTTTCAAAACCCTCCTCCAAATCCCAATTCCAAGATTAAATTCCCGTACCATCTCCAACCATTATTCGACGTGGCAGCGGAAGAGCTCCGCAGCCCAGTGGCTTCTTTACTCCGGTCACTCTCCGCCGCCAACAGGAGGGTGGTTATTGTAAACGATTCTATGATGGGATCAGTGGTTCAAGACTTCATTCGTTTCCCGAACGCCGAGGCCTATACTTTTCATAGTATTTCGGCTTTTACGAGCTTCTTTTTCCGGTGGGAAACTGCCGGAAAGCCCTTTCCGGTTGATGAAGAGATTCTGCAGAAGCTTCCAGCTTTAGACGGTTGTTTCACTCCCCAATTTACGGAGTTTGTTATAAACCAATCGGATTACGCCAAGAATTCTTCGGGAAGAATTTACAATTCATGCAAAGAGATGGAAGGTCCTTTTCTTGATTTGCTTTCCAAGCAAGAAATCAGCGGAAATACCAAGCAATGGGCTCTTGGCCCTTTCAACCCAGTTCGGGTCCAAAAAGGCGAAGAACCGAATCAAAGACCAAATACTCATAAATGTCTCGAATGGCTCGACAAACAAGGTATGAACGAAGTAATCTTGGTTTCTTTCGGTACCACAACTTCATTTTGTGATGAACAGATTCGCGAAATTGCGATCGGGTTAGAGAAAAGCGAGCAAAAATTCATATGGGTTCTGAGGGACGCCGACAAAGGAGACGTATTCGTGGAAGATTCTGGAAGAAGATCGATGGAACTACCAGATGGATTCGACGAGAGAATCGAGAGAAAAGGATTGGGCCTGGTGGTTAGGAGCTGGGCTCCCCAGCTTGCGATTTTGGAACACGTAGCGACCGGAGGTTTCATGAGCCACTGTGGTTGGAATTCGTGCACGGAAAGCTTGACGATGGGGGTACCGATCGCGGCCTGGCCGATGCACTCCGACCAGCCGAGGAACGCCGTGTTGGTGACGGAGGTATTGAAAGTTGGTGTGGCTGTGAAAGATTGGCGTAGCCATGATGATCGGCTAGTGATGTCAACGATGGTTGAGAGAGCTGTGAGGATATTGATGGCGGAGGACTTAGGCCACGAAATGAGAAAAAGGGCTTCAAAGTTGGGGGAATCTGTTCGGTGTTCGGTGGCTGATGGTGGCTCTACCAAGGTAGAGTTTGATGCTTTCATAGCTCATATCACAAGGTAGTAAGTAGTACATTTGTTTTACATTTATGTTGTTAGATGGGTTAAGAAGCATTCTCAGATGGATTATATATTCAGTGGCTGAAATACGATATTGTTGAACGTGTTTTGCCTGTAAACATTTTGTCATAAGTTTCGAATACTTTACTTCTTTTGTTGTAAAAACTAAAAAATTATGTTGTTAGAACACATCTTGACAAAGTTTACTTGCATGTTTTAGTCATGATTCTAAGAAAAATGAAAAAGAAATTGAAGATATATCAATTATTAAAAAAAAAGTTATAGTTAAGTCGTGGTTAGTTTGCATACAATTAGTCTGTGTAAGGTACACAAAAAATGCTAATACTTTGTTTTGTGATTTAAGGCTGTTGATTTTTTTTCCTTCAATTTTAATTTAACGAAATTGCTTTTGCAATTAAAGATAATGGAATTACAATTTTTTGCTTAACAAAGTTACTTTGAAAAAATATTCTTTCATTAAAAATCACTACAAACAGTCCAGCACCAAGTGAGAAATAAAGTTAGGAGGGCTATTCCATAGCGTGTTTCGATTACATGAGTGCTTGACAAATTTAGAAAAAGCATGAGTTAGAATATTATCCGGTCTTCTAAGCTTTTAACAGGCAGATCACCACAAAGGTAGATGATATCTTCAAGTATTGATAAACAAGACGAAGGACCATCCCCCCTTCCTTTATAAAAGTGCTTGAACCACGTACATATACTCCTGATTTTGATCAATTGAATTGTCATTTGTGCGAAATAGTGGTCATTTTCTCATCATACTAAACGTCATGAAATAATTGTCCTGTATAAATATTTATTGTAAGTACAAATTGTTTAAAAGTGAATTCCAAACTAAAGTATCATTTTGGAAGAATGTGAATATTAATTTTCTGTTTCGAATATCCGGAGTTCCTCGGACTTCATTGTTTATACATATATCAACCCTCCCAACTTTCTCAAACAAAATTAGAACAAGTTAATGATTTGACTAAAATGTTCTTTTAGTTGTCCAATGATACACCTTATATTCCAAAAAAAATATTTTGGAATGGGATAGGAACTATTTTTTTTTCGGGGGACACATGGAGGATTATAAGTTTAAATTAGTCGTAACTAAGAGGATTAGTCAGAGAACGAAACTAATAGCTTAATTAATTTCTGGAAACCCCAAATCAAAGTAATTAATCAGAGTTCGATCGACTCATTGGACATGTACATTGATCTACTCCATCTTCTTTTTATATGTTGAATAGAAATTAAATATATAGACAAAGCCTATAATTAGCATATTCCAATAGTTTAAGCATATTATATCACTACACATTTATAAATCGTTTACACGGTTCTGATCTTGACAGTTAAAAGTGGATCAAGAAACACTTACGGTCTAACTTAAGTTTGACCTCTACATTAATGTGTTCGGAAAAAGAACATTGCAAAGTTTTGCTTTTTTTTTTTTTTTTAACCTTTCAAGAGCCAAAAATATCGAGTAACAAAAGACAAACATATAATAAGAAAAGACAAAACATCCTTGTCGATCGATTGGCTTTCGTCCATAGATCCCGTTCTGTAAATTGCATGACTTTTGGATTCAAAATGAGTCAATAGATACCGTTTTCTTTTTTCCCCTTTTTTCCTTTTCTTTGCAAACATTTGAGACCGTCTAAACTCTAAATCCAGCTATCCTCCAGAGATCGTACTCTGCTGTAGTCCCCACTTATTTCATTTTGATGGCGATATCGATTGGAAAACACATTTTATCTCTAACGTCACCAACATTACGTCACCCATGCATGCAGTTACTTGTATATATGTCCTCCTCAATTCCTCGTATAGTGTGTGAACGTATTTTTGGCTTTTACCTTCTTAGTTTCACGAGAGAAAGGAAAAAAAAAAAAAAACAAGATGACACTAGTTGCCATACGTCGGCTATCAGGGGGGAACTAGACTTTTAGGCTTTGTTTATTAGGTTTTTTTATGGTATTTTCAAAATATTTAAATAATAATTGTCTCATCCTAACATACTTTTTTACATTTTCAATACACTTTTTTACATTCGCAATACAAAAAATACCCGAAAACACACACTAAAAAAACAAAACAAACATACCCTTAGATTGGGGGGCCTGGATTTCATTTTATAGAGATTTTTTCTGATATATATTTAGCTAATTACTATTTATAACTCGATAATTTCTTTTTAAAAAAAAAAACAAAATTTTATAATTACTGGGAAAATAAAGCTATTATAAGGTCACAAACTTGCTAGATTTGAGGTTGTTTGGCAAATTCTGAAAGCTGCATTGAAAACTTAAGAATAGAGTTATTTACACTTAAAAATGTAACTTCAGGATCTAGCTATCGAATGATTGAAGATTTTATAAGCGTTTTAAAACAAAAACGGGGGTTTATTAGAAAAACTTTTAAACTACAAAACCAATTTGCAATATGTTCCATTATGCCTCTTCTTCCTCCTACAATTCCCAATCGCCAGATAAATTTTGCAATCTGTCGGCCTATGTCTAAGTCTCCTTCAGACATAACCACAAAAAGCTCCTTTTGAGTAAATTTGGGGGCTGAAGGGCTCTATCGAAACTAGTTGATCTGGCCGTATATACTCTAGTACTCTGATCGGCCACCCGGAGACTTAATTAGTTCCGCCTCTGTCGGATATACCCTTATTTTCCTCTTTTAAAATAATTCTTTCTTTTTCTTTTTTTCATCTATATAACTCGTAAGAACACTGACTAATTTCTGTAACGAGTTATAAGTATCTCGAGATGTAGGATACATTAACTCAACACATTCAAAGGCACAATTAGATCAAGAAGAGGATATCTTGGAGCAATAAGGGGAGTGATAAGGTTGATGGAGTGATAAGGAAATCTGATATCCTCATCAGTAATTAGTAGAGATATATTTGAATGATGAGGAAGGCTTGGTTACAATTGATCATTCACGGTTAAGGAAATGGTTTTACATTCATTACAGAGATTGTAGTTTTAATCTTATCTCTTCTCATGTAACCTTAGTATAAATAGAAGAAGCACAAAACTCTCAATGTATCAAAAGTTGCTCACGTTAAATCAGTTCATGAAAACTCTTTTTCATTCTTGATTTTCTTTTGGATACTTGGTAAAAAAAACTTACAAGTTTCTCTTTATTTATGACGGTTTTATTTTCAAAAAAAAATTCTCCATTTTGTTAAATTAAACAACTGGAATAAAGTGGACTATATATCCAAATGGGATTGAGGGATTGCAAGATGCTACGTGGACTATAAAACTTTTGGTCCTTCCGGCAAAAAAAAAAAAAAATCTAAGTATCATGTATGTGGCTGATTTAATACTCATATACTTTTATTTGTAGCTATTCTTATTTCACGTGCAATTAGCCCTAGATGCAGTCCCATAAATTGGGGTAAACATGATGATGCGTGTTTTTTTTTTTTTTTACCGGTCATAACATCGGGGTATAAATTGTAGAATCTAATTGCTCCTATCGGGTTTTGGACAATTAGTTAATAAATCTAGGCTATAAGGGCTCAGGCCAGAGCGGGATTCAACCCTTTGGAGCATTAGTTAACTTCACAAAATGAATGGTTTAATCAAAGTGTTCTTTACATGGCAAATTTTACTTCTTTTTTCTTTTATTTTTTTCCCCTTCGAAGGGATCGAATTTCTTCTCTAAAGATTTACAGGGGGAGGCCAAATAGAAAAGTACAGATGTTGTTGGAGGGTTTTTATAAATCCAACTTTGGTATAATTAACATTTTTTTTGTTTTGAAATCGGTATTTCAGTACGTATTTGAGGCATTGTGTTTGCATATCTTTTCTCAATCTCGAAATAATTGTCCAAATTAGATTTTCACTTTTAGTTTAATTATACTAAAAATAAAAATTTGAACTAAATAAATACGTTGGAATGGGGAGAATATATATATATATATATATATATATATATGTGAACTAAGTAATTACGTTGGAATGGATAATCACTTGAAATATTTCTCTGTTTTTTCAATATACTTTCTCTATTTTTTTAAAAAAAAGTTCACTTGTTTAAATTAAAACAATATAACAAAGTAAATTATTTTTCCGAATGAAAAGAGTACATTACAAACAAAGCCCGCCCATTCCTTTGAATTAAATATCTACTAATTAAGACATCAAGCTCTTTCTATTTTTTTAATCAGGTAGATATAGTTTGGACAAAATTATTTTTTGATTAATATTTAATTTGACTTTTCTTGTTATATTTTCTCTGTTAAAAATGATTATTTTATATTCTTATTTGGATTTTCATTTTCAGTACTATTTGTATTAAAAAGAAAAATTTAAACTGAACAAACATTTTCGGAAAAAAAAAGATTACATGTATTCCAAGCTTGTTTTCCTCTCATTTTCAGTTCATTTAACATTTGAATTCGATTGGCTGCTGTTATTTGGCATGTTTAACCCTTAAAACCTTATATGTTAGGGGATACTGCTGTAATTTACATCTTATATATATATATATATATATATTTTCACTACTTGTTATTTGTGAAAGGTCCTACGCCAAAGAGGGGGAAAAAAGCACATTACTTGATAGTAGTAAGGAGGGAGCCATCTTACATAATATCTCTTCCATGAAGTACTCCCAATAATTTTTTATTCACTTGTTTTTAGGGTATTTGAAAATTCTTTATTATAAATAATAGTAACTAATTTTTTTCGTTAAACCGAAGATAAAAACGTGGCGTCCGCCACAGAAACGTAGTTATACAAGAGCGTGAAATGAGCCATGATAATTTTTTTTTTGGTTACAATAAAAAAAGGCTCAAGCCTTGCAAGTAAGTTAGTATATTTTAGGAGTATGTTACCCTTATAATATCATGTTCCAAGTTTCAACCATGGCCGAACACCTATGGGAAGACTATCGAGTCAGTGCAATCCACCAGGGGTTATTATTAGTAACCCCATATAAAGCGTTCTATTATTAATAGTACCAAAAATATCATGCTTCTATTTTTGACCGTGCTGACTAACGAGGAAATCCCAAGTGTCGCCGGAGGAAAATTGATGGTCAACAAAAAAGAAGATACCAAAGATTCCTCATGTTGATGACATAAATTATTTGAGGGGATCCATTTTGTCAAACACACATCACATCACATCACATCACGTTTATTTTGGGATTTTAAATAGTATGAAATTTTGAACGGTCTTATAAATTACGGTTTTGATAGACTTGAATTGGAGTTGGTAACTTCTTTCAACAGATATTTCGATGTATAATTGGCGGTGAAAGATTTCACATTTGCTATTGATGAATATTCATGTGAAGCAACACAAGTCGGCATCGATATTTTAATTTGTCAGCCGGAGTTTAGATGGTGGAGCTGCATGTGTTCTATAAACGATTGGGCGAACCTTTCTATCAATAAATTATTAACATGTAAACCCCATATTGCATCAGATATCTTATCAACATGTAAGCCAATAGCCATCTTTCCTTTTTCTTTTTTTTCTTTTTTTTGCGTACAAAATAGCCAGCTTTCCTTTAAATGGAAAAAAGGAAACAACACGTTGTAACATCTCTATAGTTTTAACATTATTCGTACGTATTTGTCACTATATTATAGAACTATTGATTTGTCCACATCCAAAACTCTCTAAAGGTTTGAAATTTTATAAATTTGAATTGTTTGATCCTATAAGTATAATTTTATTTTATTTTTTATTTTATGAAAAATGGATGAAAGTTCTCACTAACAAGGGTTTTGCGAATAAGAAATGTATGGATAAGACACAAAACAGTGGAAATGTATAATTTCTTGTTGAGATTGTGAATGTTTCTGTCAGATGATATACGCAAAAGAACATCTCCAATATTCCACTCCAATAATTAATGGGAAAGGAGCTTTTAAATTAGGGGGAAAAAAACACGCACACACACACACACACACGAAATACCGACATGCACCTATATAATATATATAGTCAGAAGAAGATATAAAAATAAAGCACAAGGTTTTTCCTTCCCCCTTCTTTTTGTCAGTTTACATTAGTGTTAAATATAACCAAATGCCGACATGCAACCATCTACATATAGCCAGAAGAAAGAAATAAAGAAACAAATACATCGTTTTTTTTTGTGGTCATTTTCCAAACAATTGAAGGAACCAATTAATGGAGAATGATCTACTTTTTAACTAACTCCAATCAAGCTTCACACTTACGTGAATCATTTGGATTAGGGTTCCTGAAGGCTGCACATTCAATTGGATTGGAACATAGATATCTATTCGATTTGTTGGTCGATGCCACCAATTTCGTGCCATGTTTATCTATATAATAATTAATCATCCTTCTCTATTATTGAAGGTGACCAAAAAAAATATAACAATAAACAAATTCCTCAACGTGATGTGATCTGTTACCGAAATTAAATTGTCTACACATGAATTGATAAACGACAAAGAGAATTGAGATTGAAAAAGCGAAGAAATAAGATGGAGAAAGAAAGATGTTCCAACTTCCAACTATGCAAAGTGAGAGCCTCTCATATGTGGAATTAATACAAAAAGGAAATAAAGAGATTGATTGGTGTGGGGGTTGTTTGTAAGGTTTGTGTAGTCAATTCATCTATAGAAAATGTTACACTTGCACAATTATACGTGCTAACAAGTAAAAATCACTTGAGCATACATTTAAATTATTATCTCTTATCTATTTTTAGCAAACAAAACGCTTAATTACATTTCAAACCAGTGGCGGAGACAGGGAATTAGTAAGGGTGGTCGCTCTTCTTCCTCTCCCAAATTTTTTATCAAGGAAGGTCCAAATTAATTTTTAGTTTAAATTTTTATTATTTCACGCATATATATGGAAAAAGTATCATGTGTCCCTCTTATTTGCAATTTCTGGTTACACCAACTCTTTGAGATAGTAGTATGTTTTTTGCATATTTACTACAGTAATTTAGTAGTATACATTTTTAGAAAAATTTGGATTAAGAGCTGTGGAGAAGTTTTATTTAATAAAAAAGATACAACTTTTACATAATATGAATTAAGGGCAGTAAATCACTTTATCAAATTTATAAAATTAAATTAGCTATCCTCAGACAAAAATGTCCCTTCTTCTATCCTGCTCATATTAGCGTGGAAAAAAAAAACATCAAAGAAAACTTCGTCTCCCGCTGGTTATCATCGCTTCTGTCAGAACTCGGCTCAACTCTCAAGACACCGTACCTGGCTGGAAAAATTTTGTTGAATACTTTGCATGTCCATATATTCCAATTTTGGAATATGACAAAAAAATAGTGAGAAGGCAATTATGAAGCCATTCGCTATTTATGTTCTGTTGTTTGTTTGATTTGGCTACTAGATGAATCATTATGACTACTACTTTGGAAGTAACCCATTCGTGCCAATGGGAGTTTTTGGATCTATCTTGCTGCAATAAGCTCTGCTATATACAATTATCAATGTAATTCACTACATCGATCTGCAGCCATTAATTCCTATCAGCAGTACAGTTTTTTTTCTTTGATCTCTTTTTTTTTTTTTTTCCACGGAGAAATAAGAGAAGAAGGGGTTATTTTTGTCACAGCACAACTAATTTAATTTTATAAATATTATAAATAAGTCACTGTCCTTAATCTATATTATATAAAAGTTATACCCCTTTTATTAATTAAAACCTCTCTACCGCCCTTAATCTATATTATGTAAAAGTTATACCCCTTTTATTAATTAAAACCTCCCTACCGCCCTTAATTCAAATTTTTCCTATATTTTTTTGTAGTGTTCATTTCAAACTCCTTGATCACAATGTAGATTCCTGGTCGGGTCATTTTTTATAAAAACAAGAAATGAAGGTATGAAAATTAGAATTGGGCCATTTGGGAGTCATGATCCACTTAGAGTCTTAGAGACTTCAACCTCTGAGAATATCTTTCAGGCCCCCACAAGCCTATCGAATTCAAACCTAAAGTTTCTTCAAAATGGCCCTCACAGGCCATTTGGGAGCTATGATCCGCCTGAAGTTTTCTTCAAGCCCAATTAATTCAAAAACATTCCAAGCTTAGCAAAGAAACATGATACATAATTTTAAGTAAAATGATACCTAATTATTGTCCAGTTTACTAAAAATGAAATTTAAACTGGACAATAATTTCAGGATGGAGGAAATATATATACAAAATATATTCGTTTTTTTTTTCTAGTTTTTCTGATTGTTGTAAAACTAGTAATAACTTGTTTACATATATTAAATTTTTAGTCTTCTTAATGTCCACCCTTACAAGTCTCACACAAATGTAGAAAAATTTTCCGGTCTCTTAATTTTTAAGATTCTTGCCACTAGTTTTCATTTCACATATGTCTTTTTTAAAAAACAAAAAAAAAAATTTATATCTACTACTTTTAATTCGAAATTTCAAAATGTGGTAAATGACGTGAAAATTGTTGGTTTATAAAAATTGGACGGAAATATTGATAATCCTTATGTGTATTTGAAGTCGGGAATCTGGATTGAAATTGCAAAAACATGTTAACTTCCCTTTCTGTGCCTTAATAAAGTTAATCTGAAATAAGTTTGCAATTAATTATTTACTTCTGACCAAATGTGTAATTTTCGTAATTTGTAGGGATCAAAAGTGCTTTTTCCCCACACTTACACCCGTATACTCAGAACCAGGTGAAGAAAAACCTCTCCTATTACACAGTGAAGAAGAAAAGACAGTATGATGAGAGTGAGCAATTTCCTTAGAAAAACCAGCAATTCAATCCGCGGCCTCCGATTCTTGAGCCATCAAGGAGTTAAAGCAATCGAGGACCACGATTTGCTTGACATCTTACGATCTGAAATCAACTATGAGCTCACTTCAGAACCCTCCAAGGTTACTCCTATTCCCAGAAATCTCTACGTTATGGTTTTGTTGGCTTCAATGTCGTACTCTAAATACAAAATTTCTAAATACTAAGAATTCGACGAAAATTTTTGATTTTTTAGGCTGTAAAATATGGCATTCTATTTGGGTCCAGATTTTATTTTAATTTTTGTTATTTATTATTTTTGTTTGAGTTGGAGAAGTTGAACTGGTATGAGTTTTCTGTATTCCGTTTTGAAATGGTGGGCTTTTCTTTCGTAGGTTTCATTGTGATACTGTATCGGATGCCAACTAAATTTTCACACATTAGGTTAATCTCCTCTGTAAGAAAGTCTCAATATTGTAGAAATTTTACTTCTGGTGCTGCATTTAGGAGCTGCTGCTTTTCTTTGTTAACAATTGAGAATATTACTTCTCTGAAAGCAAAGTCATTTTCCTAGTAATTTTCAGAACCAAAAAATTTGGGTTTTTTTTTTTTTTTTTTGAGGAACTTCTGTTGTACTAGCATCCTATTGGCTTGACATCTGTTGGTGATGATGGATTACTTGCAGTCTCTGCGTAGGAGACTGTTAGTTCAATCATTGACGGACTTTCTGCTATTTGAATTCCTTGTCCTTAACAATGGAAACTAACTTTATCAGAGATCAAACGGTCTAGAACGATGGCTAGTCCAGTATCTCGAGACCAGTTTGAGAATGACTGATTTTATCTGAAGTGAGAGTTTTCAGTTTTCATTTTGGTTATTGAAGGGTTTTTGGTGGGATCAAATCACTCGTTTCTTTCACCGTTAGATATGTTTGAAATAAATTTCCATTACGACGAGCAAAAAAAATAATTTTGTTTTTGAATAATTTTGTTCATTATGAAGTGGTAGCAACTTCAATGTCTCCATTCACGGTGAAAGAAACTGATTATTAGGAATTAGAGAGCACATATCGTTTAGATCCTCATGAAATCTTGAAATGGACACAGACTGATGGAAACGGTTCCCTGGGAGATTTTGTGATCGAATGGGATTCACCTGAATCAAAAGATGTGCTTTTACGAAGGAAAAGCACATCAGGAGAGGAAGTTGCTGTTTCTGCATTATTTGGTGGGCCCAAAGTTGAAGCAGATGAAGCAAATAAAGCAGATCAAGAATCACCTGTGGCTGCTGATGTCCAAATGAAGGTTTGCATAAGAAAGCCTGGCTTAAGCTCCATTTTGCAGTTTGATTGTGAAGTTTACAGCAGAGGCATGAAGCTTTCAAGATTTGATATTGAGAGTGCCTATTGCATTCCCTCAGCATCTTCTCTGGGCTCTTCTCTATTTCGAGGCCCCTTATTCAGGTACTATTACCTGTATCCATGTTATCATTTTATGGTACTTTTACTGTTTCTAAAAATATTTAGGAGCTAGTGTTGGCATCTGATTGCAATGCCTGATTGTACTTTTGTAGTTTCATCCAGAAAAAGGCAATTGCACTAGTGACACAAGCAAATGTATTTTAATGGATGAAAAATGACTGATGGAATAATAGGCTACTTAGAGAACACGTTTTTTGCCAATCATTCCACCAAATTTAGGGGTTACTTCTTAATCTAAAAACCCAATTGAAGATACAAGTAAGACATGGGAATTTAATGATAGCTTAGTGGTTAAGGTGTTGTCTTTCCTGGTAATAGAACAGGGTTCAATTCCCACGGTTATTGGACAAACAAATAGGAGCTCAAAGCAAGTCCAAGGTATTTGAATCTTTGTCCCATTATTTTGCAACATGCATGGGGACAGATTATAGGCATAGAAGGTTCAATTGTCATGGAATTTCTCCCAAGTAAGTTTTCCTAGAATTGCAAATTTGAAGCAGAATAAAATGTAGGCTGATGCTTGGGGGAAACACGCATTATATAGAAAATAAATACAATAAGAAAAAAGATAGGAAGCTTTCTATGCTATGCTTATTTGAAGCTACTCCACATGATTTGACTTAAGGAGCTGCTCCCATTGTCTTCCCTTTTTAACAAAGAAATAGTTTAAAAAATGGAATTTTGTTAACTATTCTTTGAAGATAGTTCGATTGAGATTCAAATTGTTTGATAAACTTGGTTTGCATTTTGTTGCTTGAATTGTTCTTCACTTGGATGTCATGCAATGTCTGATGCATTGAGTCATTTACCCTTTAGAATTACTACACTTTTTCCTCCCACAATTTTTTTACAATGAAATTTCTTTCTTGAATGTGAATTCCCCCTTTTAAAAGGAAATATATAACTAAGGCTGGTACCCCCCATTTTATTCATCGTAGGAAGAACGGGTTACATGGTAGCTTTTAAGAGGATATGAAGGATCACAATATCTCTATGTTCGTAAGAACTAGCTAACTTGTAACACTGAGATTGTTGGCTCAGTGAAAATAGACCCTTGGTTTCTCAAGGAAGCTAATTTTTCATCTAACTGCAGAATGCAATCATATCATGTGTTGTAACTGAATTGACTCTTAGGATGTGTACATCCATGCATTTCAGGCTAGGCTTTTTGAACCTTTGACTTTCGTGTGTAAAACTCTATTGTTTATCATATTGCTTACCCCAATATGTTTGCTCTTTTGGGGATTATTTTTGTACATGAACAAAGAATAGTCAATACCCAGAACTTCCTTTGCATTCTGGTTGACAGTTGCTTTGCCATGTTGGCGTCACTACTGATAATTTGGTTACTCTTCATCTTACTGATGTTCTCTGATTCTTGCTTCTTGTAGTGAATTGGATCCTCGGTTACAAGTTGAACTGAAGAAGTATCTAGCAGCTAAGGGAATCGACGAAAGCCTTCTGCACTTTCTCCTCTTCCACTTGCGACAGAAAGAGCAAGATCAGTATGTTAACTGGCTGGGCAAATTGGAATCTGCACTAGCATAACCAAGTTAGAAATTTTTAAATGGTAATAGGAGCCTAGGAGGTTAGCTGATAGTAGTTAAAATTTTTGGCAACAATCTGATTCACATTATAATGTGGGGAAATATGTAGCCTCGGCCCTTGGTTTTCCATTCTTCCATGTCTTCCCTGGCCTTTTTGCTTCCTCAGTTTACCCATGATTTGTCAAACAGTGGTTATTTAACGGAGATCGAATTGTTCTTACCTTCAGTACACCTTCAGTCCTGAAAGAAGATTCCCCCGTTTGAATTCGACAAAAAAATGTTTGGGATGCAGAAAATATTGAATTTCCATTTCAGTCTCAAACTTTGAAAGCATATTGGGTTTTGACAAGTTTAATGTATTAGAAACGAAAAGATTTGAGAAGACTAGTGCTTCCTGTCAAAAATTATGTTGAGTTTTAAAATTTTTAGTACTAAAATTAGTAGTATAAATTTAAAAATTGAATGTAAACTTTTTTTTCTTTCTTTTTCTTTTTTTTGCGACAAACTTCTCTGCTTGTTTCATTTTTTCATGGTTTTTTTTCAAAATAATATAATAATAACTGTTACATCGGATTACAATATTTGCAGAATCGTGATCCTACGCAGGATCGAAATAGGATCATAGGATCGGATCGTAAACAGGATCGGTGGAATCGGAATAGTAGGATCATAAATATTTAAAAAATATTTATATATTATAAAAATTATTAAAAATAACTTTTAGATTTTTTTTTTAAAAGTTGTATAATGCATTCATTCTGATTTCTAGGGGAAGTTATATTATAATTTTTTATTTATTAATTTCTAGTACTATTTCTGTCCCAAAAAAATAGTCTACCTTGAGTTTTTAAATGTGTACTAAAAATAATACAAAACTCAAAACTCAATGTGGATTATTTTTATGGACAGAGGAAGTACTTAATAAGTTGTGTATGATTATTTTAGAGTGATTGAAAATTATGATTAAGAAATAAAAAGTCTTAATATGTCGTGGACCAAAGACAAAACAGAAACTAAAGAAAGGCTTATGTCATCATCAATTGAGTCATTTACTAGTTGACCATTCTTTTTCTCCCTCAAGGTCACGAGTCCGTGAGCAGAAGAGTTCTGGCGAGAGAACAAACAGAGCATATAAATTATGGGATCCTTTTCTCAATTCTGATAGTGTAATCTTCCTAAACAATTCTAAAGAACTCAATTTCTTCAACTTTATCACTCTTTTCATCTTCTTTTTTAAAGCTTTTTTTCATGATTTGGAGTAATTATTCTAGAATCGATTGACTTGATAGGATCGTTCGATACCACCGATCCAGCGATTCCGACGAGTCTGTTCTGATTCCATATCAAAAAACGATCTAAACCGATCTAGAATCAATTTCCTTATCTTGATCCTAGGATCGAGATCGCGATTTTACAAACACTAGTCCCATTCCCATCCCAGCGTATCTTTTTACATTTACAATACATTTTTTTACATTCCTAATACAATAAGCACCTAAAAAAAACAAGCATATATACTTCATATATATTAAGAATCCACATTGGTTCAATATTATCAAAGTCATTTGAAGTACTGTATCATCAAAATTTGTTCTTCATTTAGCTATACTAGGGATTGAAGGTTTTTTTTTTTTTTTTTTTGAAAAGGAAGGATTGAAGGTGATTCGTATGCATCTTTGTATCATAGAATATTTGCATGTGACAAAAAAAGATAGAAAACTATTGATTGCCTGCTGCCGTAAGACTTTGAGTCCATTGAAAAAAAAAAAAGGACTTTGAGCGACTACACCTGCTTGAATTATGGTGATTTATTAGATAAGCCTTCTTGAATTTTAAGTTCTACATTAAAACTCTGTTCCTTAAAATTCTTTTTTTTTTTAAATTTAATTTTGCATAATTTTATAGGCTAACATGAGAAATAAACTCTGCTGAAAAATTTGGATACCATAAAAAAGGGGAAAAAGAAAAAAAAACAACAATTTTACCTTGATCATCATGTCTTGATCCTCTACCACATTATAGCCACCTTGAGTTTTAATATTGGCGCGGGAGGAGACAGATGATACAAGAAAAAAAAAGATGGAAAAGATTAAAATTGACAAAATGAATAATTAAAAATAAAAATCTTAGAAAAGAATATAATGCAACAAAAGCTATACAATAGCTAACAAAAACTAAACCTAAAATTTATTTATGAAGAGCCGAAAAACAAAATTTATTACTTTCAAAGACAAGAACTTTTACAAATGAAAATAAGTACTGTATTAAAGTTCATAATAAATGAGAAGGTTTGAAGACGAAAAAAAATGTTAACATCCTTATATAATTTTTTTTTAACCAAAGAAAAATACTACTCCATCTGTCCCAAAATTATTGTCCAGTTTGAGATTTCACTTTTAGCATAATTTGAACTAGAAATGAAAACTCAAACTGGACAATAATTATGGGACGGAGGAGTATACTCTATCTGAAGTTTTGTTTTGGTCCTAAATGGGACAATCAGCTGGCAATGATTCAAAAAGAAAACAAAAAAAAACTTACAAAATCATCTAGCATTTCGGAATAAAATCGTTTGCTTTTGTCCAATTGGTTAATTTAGTGTAATGTGAAATATTTTGTGCCAAGTTTAAGACTACGTACCAGTTAAAATTTGAAAAGCCAAAATATATGTACTTTCCCAGTTTTTATTCTTTCTCTGGAAATCCACTGCAGCCGCATCATAGTTAACGGCCGCCCTTCGCCTCCGTCGACCCCGCCGGCTTTCTCCATTTCCGGCTATTTTGATATGAGTTCCTTGATCCCTTCGCCACCGCCTTAACTGTTCCTCTGTCCTCAACTTTGCATCTCTCTGCCTTGAGCCAGCTCTAGTAATCATCATCATCATCTTTCTCTGATCCTAGTTTTTCCAAGATCAGACTAATTGATTGAATTGGACAGTAGGTGGGGGAGGAGGACGAAATCAGAGAGAATCGAAGCCAAGAGAAACAGGGCAGCCAGTCTGTTTGGGGAGGAGTTGAAGGTCAGCCTGAATTATCCCTTACCAATTTGTGTCTTCCTTACGCAGCTGTTTACAATTAGTGCTGTTAAGACCGTTCTAATTGTAACTCGATTGCATATAACCTGGTATCATATTTTGTTACTCGTTATTTCTAATTCTTGGGACTGCGACTTGGCTGATGGGCTCTTCTTTTAAAAACCATGTGATATGGACGAGTGAATAAACTGTTTTGACTGTGATATTATTGAATTGATGTGATTTTGGTTGTTTAAAATGGCTTGTGCATTTCTTAGTAGTGAGTGTTTATGGTGGTGTTGTTAAGTTGAAGTGATTGAGTTTATTAAGTCATCAACATAGTTTGATAATTCCGAGATGATTTTTTAATGTTTGTACTTATAACCGAAGATTTGTTAGGTTCTCTGGAGGTTTAGAACTGTGATTTGGAGAGAATTACTTAATGAACAATTATGGTACTGTCCCGAGAGAGCTGGAAATTATTCAATTGCATAAGCATTGCTTTTGAGAAACAGTATGTAAAGAATCTCTTGTTATGTCAGATTGCGTGTTTTATTAACCCAAAAAAAAAAAAGATTGCGTGTTTTAACTGTGTTTGGTCTTGATCGACCCGACTTGATTTTTATCAATCTTGTTGCTGGTGTTCAACGTCCTGCTTTTCTTTGCAATGATAGTTGTCTTGCTGGCATTCATACTTTTGGATGCCGTGCCTTACTACTGGCCAATCCCGTTGATGAATGGAAGGTTATTGTGTATATATCATATGCCAGTATAAATTGAATTGAACTTGTCCACCGACGTGATGGTTGGTCACTTCATGATTCTTGATTTCATTATAATACCCGTCATACGAGTAATCCTGGTTGCGATTCAATTCTTGAAAATATCTACAGAGTGTACCATGGCGCATATCCTTTGAGCAATTGGTGATTGATGCTGCTCATGACCTAGGCTTGCACATTCTTCTTGTTCTGAGATCACTTGTTAGATTTATCACCTAGGTTAACAATAGGGTAAACAGTGGGCCTCACTGAGTGTGCACTCACCAAACACATAACTTTTGTTATCAGGTCCAGGTATCAGTTGTTACTAAAATGATTAAAGGTTCTGAGATGATAGAACTTTGTAGACATGTGTAATTATAAAATCGGTTGTGGTTGAATGATTCCTTATAATAACTTTGGAAAAGAATCTGGCGCGATATAGATATGAAGGTGCAATAGTTTATTTTGGTGTATTGTAAATCTTGGTTTTGTAATCTGTAGAACTTGCTTCTGATGCTATGCCACCAGAATAGCCTTGGGTGCGAACCCCGCGGTACCTGACCAAATGCATACTTATCAAGAAGGTTTTAGGTGGGGGTGTTACAGGCTTTAGATTGCTTCTCAATATAGATGTGTTGCAGTTCTCTATTTTCTTAAATGTATAGACTTTTGGAATTTTTTTTTTCCTGAAGTGTCTTTTTCTGGATCTGCAGTTGCTGAAAAAATGAGGTGATTGTAAATGTGCAAATATGCATGGTAGACTTGATATGGAGATTGACTCTGGAACCGAATAACATTGATTAAAATCTGCAATGCCATTCGATCTGGAGGGACTTAGAGGTTAAAACACCTCTTGCGTATATAAAGATACAAAACCATGTTTCCCTGTTCCAAATGATGTTACGAAAGGAATGCTTGAGTCAATAAGTGCTAACACATGAGAATCTTCAAAAAGAGGTAGAAGAAAGTTTGATTCTTCATTGGATGAAGATGAATAACATATTGGTAAGGTTTCAATGGATAACTTTCTTATTAGAAACAAGGGATATACTTGAAGGGAAGAAAAGGAAACCTAGATGAGAAGTGGAAAAAAAAAAAAAAGGAGGAAAGGGATGAGGTTTGTAAATTATAGTTTAAGACTTGTAACTATTCCATTTAATGTGGAGAAGAACCTTGTGCCCCCATCTCCTCCCCCCACCCCACCCCCCCAATTGCTGAAATTGAGGATTTAAGAAAGGGACCATATCAGCATCATACCATGAGATGATAAAGCTGAATTTGGAAAGAGAAGTACTTGACACTTAGAATGTAGTTCAAGAACCAGAAAGAAGAATGTAAATGGTAAAAGTCGCCTTTCTGTCAAACTTGGGGACTGATCAAAGTTTTCCTTCTTCGTTGCCATGGCATCTGTAGCATTCTGTTGATATGGTCATTTCTCTTTTGAATAACTCTTTAGCTGTGGGGCATACAGATATCTGTGGTTTAGTTAGTTACTCAGACCTTTATTCTTTCTGTATGGACACTTTTATGGGTTTTGTCCAGGATGTCCTCAAGATCCCTGCTGTGTTAAAATTTTAGTTGCTAGGGCTTGATGATACTCGCTTTGACCTAGAACTTGTGTTATTTGGGTGAATCATTGGTGTCCCTGACGAGGTGCTTAACCGTACTAGGCCTGGAAACATTGGTGGAACATAAGAGAACATTAACTTTATTACTTTTCATAGTTTTTGACAGTGCATTAACTGATGTGAT